GTGCAGGCGGTGGGCGAGGAGGGGGAGATGGGACGGGGAAAGATGAGGTCAGTGAGGGCTTGTGCAGGCTGGGGCCGTGATCAGGCCACTCACGGATGTGGAAGAGGAGATGGAGGGGGGTCGCAGGATATTGGGTTGTTGGCGAGCGCAAATTGAATGGGGTGGGGGGAGATGGGTGAGTACGGGTCGATGAGCCGGGGGAGGTGTGGAGAAGAGGTCAATGGGCTGACTCAGGATCCTATCCTCTTGCCTTCGCCTTGATGGGAAATGGGGCGGGATGGGACATGGGTCTCTTTCTCTCTCTCTCTCTATCTCTCAGAGTGCGAATCGGATGGGGAGGAGGAAAGCGAGAAAGGAGAGGCAGATGAGGGCTGGAATCAAGGCCGAATCAGATGGGGTGGTGGGAGACATGATGGACTTGGGGAGACTGAGAAGGGGAAGCGGGGGTGGAGGGCGTGTGTTGCATACTGTAACTGTGCAGACCAAAACAAGAACCAACCTCTCAATACAAGTACAAGATAGCGTAGCGGAAGACTTGGATACCAATGATCCGAACAACCAATATTGCAATGCAGCCCCAAACATACATCATCATCATCATTCCATGGTGTGAAGGGGTATGACGCTCATGCAGGAAGAATGCGCCAGCCCCAGCCATACACAAACGAAGAAGAGGGGGGTTAGACGAAGAAGAGGGGAAGATGGGAATGTCGTCAACACCAAGTCTTTGACACAGGCCCAAATAGTCCCTCGTCAAAATGTCTGAATCCCAATGTCGAGTCTGGATCCAATGTCGTCAAGTCTCAAGTCACAACTCTCTCTCTCTGTAGTAGTCCGCTGATACTGAGAAGTCAGGTGGTGAGAGGGGAAGAAGAGATGGTGGACTTAGAAGAGGAAGAAGAAGAACTCTCTCCCTCTTTCTCTCAGTCCGGTACTAACCTGTGAAGTTGGCGCCTTGATGCAGGTACCTCGAAGATGGAGCTGGAGCTATGGTGCCACAGGTAAGTCCCACTGGCCTCCGCCAGTCATCTCTCCCAACTCTACTACTACCGCCTACTAGCGCCCAACGCTGAAGACTACCGCTATGGCTACTAGCGCCCAGCGCTGAAGACTACTGCTAGCGCTAAGCTACTCCCTGCAACGCTCCTCCTGAGTGCTGCGGCCGAATCCTGAAAACTACTCCTGCCTACTGTCCAACTACCTGCCCGTGAAGTGGATGGGAACTCCCTATGTACTTCTCGGCCTGCCTCTTGACTGCAGGGCGAGGCAGTCCAGGAGGCTGCTCTTGCCAATGCCAATGGGAGTCAGGGGCTGCCGCTGCAGCTCCCTGCTTGAAGCTGTCGTGGGAACAGGCTAAAGATAGCCTGTTCCGAAAACCCTGGTTTTGTGCCTGAGTGTTAGGACAGGTCCATCTAATGAGGGCCCGAAAGTGGCCCTCAGTTTCAGGCTGAAAAGCCTCAGGGCTGAAAAGCCCTGTTTTAGGCTGAAACGACATAGGGCCTGCAGGCCCTTGTTTTTCAGTCTTTCAGGCTGAAATGACAGGGGCCTGTAAGCCCTTATTTCTAGGCTTTTAGGCTGGGAATGCGGGACGGGCCCTGCAGGCCCGTGTGGCTACGCAGTATGCCACACCCCCCCCTCCTTGAAAGACCGAGCTTACCTGCAAGGGTGAAGCTGTCTGTCTGAGGGAGGGACCACAGTCCGGGTGGGAGGGGCAGGTTGTGAAGGTCCCTGAGCTAACCTTTGTCGCTCGTAGTGAGCGTAGATCAGTGGTGCGGATGCTTTCAAATCTGTTCCTGAAATCCACCGAGTGTCGTCGGGATCGCATGCTGTGAATGTAACTTTGTACTGGCGAGGTTTGCTGCCGTACTTGCGATCCGTGATGATGCGGTCAACTTCCTGATGACCATCCATAGATGGAGGGTCTTGTGATCGTCGGCCTGGGAAGCCGTCGCTCTTAGCTGGTGTATATGTTGCCAGCTTCGAGGCGTGAAAGACTGGATGGACCGTCAGATGCGCAGGGACGTTGATCACAAATGAAGGGCCATCGGGCTCATCGCCCGCGCCTGATGTTACGGGCCATGGTCCAAACCACTTGGGAAGCAGTTTGCGTGAAACATCCTGTTCCAGTGCAAACTCTTCCGCGGAGACCCAAACCAGATCACCGGCGCGGATGGGACATGGCACGCGACGCATGTTGGCTTGCTGCTGCATGCGGACTTGAGCCTTTTGCATGTTCGCGCGGGCTTGAGCCAGCAATTCCCTGTACTTCCGGACGGAAGCGGGAGAGCAAGCGGCGTCGATGTCGGCTGGTCGTGGGAGGAGAAGTTCGACGAAGATACGGCCTTTCCGTCCACCGTGGTGCAACTCGAATGGAGTCACGCTGATCGTCGGGTGCACCGAAGTGTTGTAGGCGAACTCGATGTCGGGGAGGCGGTCAACCCAATCTTTCTGGTCTGGACGAATGAGCGTACGAAGCATCATTTCAGAGGTTTGATGTGCCCGCTCCGTTTGCCCGCCCGTATGTGGATGCCGAGCCGAACTTGGTTTCATCTTCATGCCGGACTCCTGCATGAGAGCAGTCCAAAATGCCGACATGAAGCGAGTGTCGCAGTCGCTGACTATGTCTTCCCGTACACCGTGGCCACAAATCCAACCGGTGTGCAAGAGGCGTGCCAGCTCGGGAGCCGTGGAGTAGTACTTGCAAGGGAGAAAACGTGCATACTTACTCAAACGGTCCACAACCGTGAGGATGCCGTCGTGCCCGAGGCGATCGTGGGGAAATGGTCCGGTGACATCCATGGCAATGGAGAGGCCGGGTTCCCGTGGGATAGGCATCGGGCGCAACTCGCCGTAGGGGTTGCAATTGCGGGGCTTGCTTCGTCGGCAAACTTCGCAAGAGTCACAATACCGAGTGACATCGGTAATGAGGTCGGGCCATCTGAATCGTTGTCGTAGCCGTGCAATAGTGCGGTTGACTCCAAAATGGTCGGCGAGTCGCGAGTCATGGTACTCCCCGAGAAGGCGAGTCCGAAGACGACGGTCTCGTGGGACACACAATAAGTCCTTGCCTCTCGAGTGGAGGAGCAAGTACCCGTCGACAATGCGATAGTGGCTGGCCGGCGGGTGATCCGAAGATAGCTGCGCATACAACGTGGCGAAGTACGGATCAGACTCATAGCCCCAGATGAAGTGTCGCTGAAGTTCGTCGTCGAATGTAAAGGCATGATGTGTCATAGCGCAAAGATCAGGTCTTCGCGAGAGTGCATCTGCTGCGCGATTGGAGAGGCCGGGGAGATGTTTCGGTGTAAAGTCAAATTGGTCGATGAAGTACATCCATCGTCCGATCGTGCTGCTCACCGTATCCTGCGTCTTGTAGTAGGTCAGTGGGTTGTTGTCCGTAACCCATGTGAACCTACGACGCCCAAGGAGGAAGTGCCGCCATCGCTTGAGAGCCATTACGAACGCGAGCAGCTCCTTCTTCCTTGCATCATCAAGCGAGTTGATGGGAGGCACTTTGTGGCTGAAATATTCCACAGGGTGCCAGTCGTCGCCGTCGTGTTGTTCCAAGACTGCCCCAATGCCATAGCCGGAAGCGTCTGTTGTCACTCTCGTCAGCAGGGTGGGGTCATAGATGCTAAGGACAGGTGCCATGAGCATGGCCGTCTTAAGTGCTTGGAATGATCGGCGTGCGTCGTCATCGAATACAATTGGCACCTGTGGCGATTGTAATCTCGTCATAGGTGCAGCAATCCTTGAGTACCCGGTGATGAATCGCTGATAGTAACCCGCCAATCCCATGAATGAACGAACGTCCGTGGTGTTAGTGGGCTCGGGCCATATGCGAAGGGGCTCTATCTTGTCCGCAAACGGACGGATGCCTTGCGGCGTCACATAATGTCCCAAGTACTCCAGCTCTTGCCGCGCGAATTCGCATTTGTCGCGGTTGGCTTTGTACTTGGCTTGTCGTAGCCGCTCCAAAACGGTGCGCAGGTGTTCCACATGCTCGTCCAAACTTCGGCTGTACACCAGGATGTCGTCGAGGTAGATAAGTACGAATCGATCCAACATGTGTCGGAACTCCGTTGTCATAGCCGCTGGGAAAGTGGTCGGGGCATTCGTAAGGCCAAATGGCATAACCAGCCATTCGAAATGCCCATACCGAGTCTTGAACGCGGTCTTGTAGCGGTCCTCCTTCCGTATCTCGAGTTGGTGATATCCCGACTTGAGGTCTGGCTTGGAGAAAAACTTGGCGCCGCCCAGCCGTTCGAGAAGGTCGTCAATGCGTGGAAGAGGGCCGGCGTTTCTGATCGTTTGCGCGTTGATATTGCGATAATCGATGCACAACCACAAATCCTTGTTCTTCTTTCGGACGAAGAGAACGGGAGCACCGTATGGTGATGAGCTAGGCGGAATCCAGCCTTTCTCCTGAAAGTCGTCGAGTTGTGCTCGTAGCACACTTAACTCTTCCTCGCTCATTCGGTAGATGCAACCGCGTGGAGGTATGGCCTCGTCCTCGAGGATGATCTCGTGGCGGATGGGCCAATCCGGTACTACTCCATGCAGGCCTTCGAACACGTCGCCGTAGGCGTCGAGAAGCTCGGTGATGCGTGGGTCCGAAGATGAGTCCGTCGATGAAGCGTCATGTGGCGGGAGGGCGTGGAGAAAACACACCCCCATCTCCTCGATGTCGTCTCTGATGATGGAAGCTCGCATGCTTGCGGCGGACACCACGTGGCAGCTGATCGAAGGGTGAGGAGGAGCTACCGTGCATGTGACTAGTACTCTGTTTCGATCACGAACGTGAACGGTGCGGCGGTAGAAGTTCACCGGGCGATCCTCGCTTCGCAGCCATGACATGCCCAAGATCATGTCGAATTTGGTGTCCAGAATATCGAAGGACACCGCCTCGCTTGCATGCGGGGCAAAGTACACAGGGACGTCATCAATGCACCGGTCTACTGACTTGTGCGTGTGACCGTCTGCTGCGTCAGCTGGGACTTCCTCCGGACGCGTGGGCCAAGGCCGGCGCGTACCATAAAGTCCTGGCTCATGTAGTTGCGAGATGCTCCGCAATCGATCAAAGCGCTGCAGGTCGCCTCTTCGATCTGAATGCGTACATATAACAATGATGCGTCGATGTCGTCGTATCGTTGTGTCTTGAACTCGCGGTCGATCTTCGCAATGTAGGTGTGAAGGTCGACAACCTCTACTCCGGCGTCCATCAACGGAGTTGGTACTGCAGTGTGCAAGTAATCCCACAATTGTGCCATGAGCACGTTGCAATGCGGTTTCGGCAATCGACCGGACCGGGGAAGGGGCATCCATTGGAAGTCCGCAAATGTCAACGGGTCGAGCTCTTAAAGTCTTGATCATGACGTTGAATCCTCGGCGGTAGATGGCGGCGAAGCTGCCGAATCGGTTGCCGATGGTGATGAAACCGTGCATGCGGTAGATTGTTGCACGTGGAGCGGTTGGTCCAGAGGTGGGACCAAGTGGACAGCATAGTCCTTGTAAGTGTCCCGAGGACTTGCGACATGCGCATCCTCCCCAGATGTGTAGGAGGCTGCTAGCAAGGCGGCCGAATCTGGAAGAGTGAGAGGTGGAGTCGCCTCACCTCCTGCACGACTCAGTTTCCCGAGTTGATACGAGGCCGAACATCCTCCTTGCCTTGATCAGGGCATTGGGAGGTCTTGTGTTTGGTGCTGTTGCACCAATAGCAGCAGCCGTAACGGCCGCGGTACTTGTACTCGGCCTCGGTCAAGTTAAACTTGACCCATGGTGCTGGCTGTCCATTTCCGGCCGGCGATGCGGTTTTCGCCTTCCCGTTTCCTCGGGACTTGTTGTTGGTTCGCGGCTGGACAGCAGCCACCTGATCTCCCTCACGTGACGCTTGGGTGGCTGCCGGGTCTTCCACAATGTTGTCCGATTGGACTGCAGCGAACTGCTGCGGTCGCAGACCAGTTTTCACCTTCTCCACATAGGTTGGCTTCCATGCTGATTTCTCATGTGCAGCTGCCCTGTTTGTCTTGATGATCTCCCTCGCCTTCTTGATGATTTCGGCGAAGGTGTTGTACTGCTCGCGATCACCAAGCGCGAGGCTCAAAGCGGCGCATGACCGGTTGTAAAACTCCCGGCGCAGATCCGGAAATGGTAAGTCCAGATCGGGCGTCGCCACGATCTTCTGCCAATCCGTGAGCCAATCACGTGTCGATGTGTTTCCTTGAGCCATCGTGAAGATGAGGTTTGCCGACGCTGCAAATCCCGCAATCATCGTCCGTACGGCGAGTTACGACCATTGCCAGTCCCGTTGAGGCGAAGGGAAGCGATTGCCATGGACATTACCGGCCCGTTCCCCAAGCACAAGACCGGAGTGGATGGGATTCTTACGGTGGTCGACCGACTCACCAAGTTCGCCATGTTTTTGCCTTGTCGCTATCATGCCAAGGCACCGGAGTTGGCCGAGGTTCTCTACGCCGGTTGGATTCGAACCAAGGGTTACCCCAAGGAAATCGTCTGCGACCGCGAYACTCGKTTCATGTCCGATTTTTGGTTGGCACTCATCAAGCGATGGGGTTCATCTCTCAAGCCCAGTTCAGCTCGCCACCCTCAGACCGATGGCCAGACGGAGAGGGCGCATCAGACCGCACAGGTTCTCCTTCGCACTCTCATCCGCCCCGACCAGAAGGACTGGGTTGAGTGGCTGCCGGATGTCGAGTCATCTATGCACCCGGCTATCGGGATGTCGCCCTTTGAGTTTGAGCACGGCTCGCCGGTCACTTCACCGGGGAAAACTATTACTCCACGAACGGTCGAGAGCGACGACCATCTTCTTTTCTTGCGTCGGATGCAAAAGCTTCTTGTCAAGGCACGCGATCAGATGGCTAAGACGCAGCAGCGCATGAGCCAACAGGCCAATCACCAGCGTCTTCCTTGCCCATTCCGCGCAGGCGACCTTGTTTGGGTTTCCGCAGCGGAATTCAGCCTTGAACCAAACATCTCTCGCAAGCTCCTCCCGAAATGGATGGGGCCTTGGCCGACCGTAGCGCCCGCTGGGGACGCACCCGAGGGACCTTCCTTCACGATTCAGCTGCCTGGCCACTTGCCGGTCTACCCAGTCTTTCATTGCTCCAAGTTGGCTCTTTACACGCCAGCGGAACATGACGATTTTCCCGGGAGAC